TTTGAGCCCATTATTACAGCCACCATGTCAATCCATCTCAGAAAGGTTTCCCAGTTTTTGCTGACCCTCTACTTCAACATGATGCATTTTTCTAGTGATTAGTCTTTCCATTTTGATGATAGGAAGTTTTAAAATGAATTTTCCAATGGTCTGAAAGAACAGTTGATATTTATAGGAGAGCTTTGGTTTCCTTAACTGAAAGATAAGGAGAAATCTTGGTGTCTGTGATGGGACCTTGGTAAAAGACAAGACATTGACATGAGAGAAGTATCACGAAATATTGAGGAAAAAATAAATCAGAATATATAGCTGAATTAAATATTATCAAATTTTTAAAAAACATGCACATATACATAGTAGATCATTTCTCAGTACCACACAGTTGTGTAACAATGTGACTCCTTTATTTTTCATGAGTTATTAATAGTTTTTATTTTAAATCCTACTCTATAGCAGGCATCTGAGACATTGTTTTGAATGTCCAGTGCTTTACTCAAAGCAATAGATAATGCTTCTGATGGCAAGGTACAGTGAAGAGGCAACTAAAACCTCACTGCCAACAAGTCGGATTGGACTCATAGCGATCCCTCCCAAGGAGGGTCAATTAAATGCATAACTTACGTTTGGGATATGTTTTTACTTTTTTATGGCCTGGTACAGGAGTAATCAGGAATCTTGTTGGTTCAATAGTTAAGTACTGGGTTGTTAACCAGAAGGTTGGCCTTTCAAAGCAACCTAGCAGCTCTGTGGGAGAGAAGACCTGGTGGTCTGGTCCTACAAATCAAAGCCTAGAAAACCCTGTTGGGTAGTTTCACGCTGTCATGTGGAACAGCTGTGAGTCCAAATCGACTTGATGGCACACAACAGCAACACGAGGCATATTTTCCAAATATTACATGTATGCTTGAGGAGAGTTTACAACTGTTAGATTCAGAATCCTACACATCAGACAGAGTTTCTTATTTGCTTGTTAATTATGTCAGTCAAATCTTCTAAATCTAAATCTTTGTTGATTTTTTTTTTACCTTATTCTTTCAGTAATCGAAATAGATACTGTGAAATCTCTAAACTTAATGGTGATTTTGTCAATAATTTCTCATTGTAGTTCTCTTGATCGTCACCATACATATTTATAAGAAATTAATATATATAGTGTGTGTGTAGGAGCTCTGGTAGCTAGTGCCTAAGGCATTTGACTGTTAACCAGAAGGCCGGCGGTTCAAAGCCACCAGCCACTCCTGGGAAGGAAGATGGGGCATACTGCCTCGGAAACCAAGGAGGGGTGGCTATAAGTCGGATCCGACTTCACGGCAGTGTGTTGCATTGCGTTTTATATATAGAGAGAGTAGTATTTGCCATATGTTATCGTTGTTGAGTAATGCAAAGTTAAAAAAATAAATAAATAACAAAAAACTCACTGCCATAGAGTCGATCTCGGCTCATAGCAACATAGCGACCCCTCCTCGGGTTTCCCAGGCAGTATCTGTACAGAAGTAGATTGCCAAGTCTTTTTTCTGAGGAGTAGCTGGTGTAGTGACAAACAATATACATTTATTTTATTAGGTAAATGCATAATTAAATTGTTTTATCATCTTGGAGTTGAAAATTTTTTCATTATTAGTGAAAATCTGGTAAGTGAATGTCTAAGGGGTTTGACTGATAACCAGACGACTGGAGGTTCAAATCCACCAGCCACTCCCCCTGAAGGAAGGTTGGGCATCTACTTACCTAGTTACTTCCCTAGTGATTCGCCTCGGAAACCCAAGGAAGGGTCGCTATTAGTAGGATCCAACTCAATGGCAGTGAGTTTTGTTTTGTGAAACTCTACACTGGTACTCTTTCAAAAGGTTTGCTTTAAACTAAGCTATTACAGCTAAACCTGCTTTTATTTCATTAGAGTTTACACAATATTTTTTTTTTCCCAATTATTTTACAACCTTAATCGGCTTTATGCTTTATTTGCATTTGTCAACACTATATTAGTTGGATTTTATTTTCAATTCAAATTCAAAAACTCTGTCTCTTAACTAGAGAATTTAGTTTATTTATATATATTCTGAGACAATGTTCACCATCTATTGATTTTCATTGCCCTCTGTTTTTCACTAGTCAGATACACTAAACAGTTTCTTGTCTTTAACTAAGTAATCCTAGCCACAAGAAAAACCAGTAGCAAAGTGTTCCTTCTTTTCTTTTTTGAGTTACACATATCAGGGGCTTAAAATGAGGATTCCAACATTAAGACTTTCTTATTCTACTGGCTTACTAAATAGTCAGGAGAAGTCTATAGCCCCTTGAATCAGGCTCCAGATGTCAATGTGACAGACAGATGAGTCACCCGGGTAATTCTCTCACCTTTCCTGCTCAAAGAGTTTTCACTTTATTTTTAATATTCTTCACTAAGAATATCACTAAGGAGTTCTAGTGGCACAGCATTAAAGCATCTGGCAGTTTGAATCTACCAGCTGCTCTGCAGGAGGAAGATGAAGCAGCCTTCAGTAAAGATTTATAGCCTTGGAAACCCTGTGGGGGGTTCTGTTCTGTCCCATAGGATTGCTGTGAGTTAGAATTGACTCAATGGCAGTGAGTATGGTTTTTGTTTTGGTCAGTATCACTAGAAGGTTTTCATGGGAATTTATTTTTAAAATATGTTAACTTGTTTCAGTCATCTTACACTGGTTTAGTTTGTTAACTCTTACTCTATGCTCCATTCTCCTTTTTTTGTCAAGTTAAAACATTTTTTTGTACCTGTATTTCCCAGACAGTTGTTTTACTGAACTCTCATATCCTCTGGTCCCCTAACCTGCATCCCCACTCTGTTGATACACTACTTGTTTTCTGTCTTTGATTCTGGCCCTTTATTGTGAAGACATTGAGAAGCCTTGAGGTATTTGTTCACACTTTTGGCCTCCAGCCTTTCTTGGCTTTATTTATTTTCTTATTGGATAGTTGTTCCCAAAGAGTTGTCAGAGTGAGTCTTTGTAGTGTAAAACTTCAGAATCTTTGAATATCAGAGAATGTTTTTTTAAGTTGTAACATTAAAATACCATTTGAGTACATACAAAATTTTAGTTTCAAAGATATTTTTTGAATGCTGGTTCAAAGTACATCTTTCAAAACTTTTGGACAAGGTGTATCTGGAATTCATTATTTAGGCTTTAGAAAGGTTATTTAGTGTCCCTTGGTGGTGCAAATAGTTAAGCATTTGGCTACAAACCAAAAGTTGGAACCCATGCAGAGATGCCTCAGAAGAAAGAGCTGGTGATCTATTTCCAAAAGACCATAGCCATCGAAAACCCTATAGAGTACAGTTTTCCTCTCATGCACAGGTGACACCATGAGTGGCACTCAACTTGACCACAATGGCTATTTAATGTATAGGTGATTGAATGTAGGTGTTCAGCACTACAAAATCAACTCTTTCTGCAGCAAATTATGTGACTATTCACACTAAAGTAGGATGAAGAGAGTATATAAATGGCCATACATCACTCTCCATTGAGCTTTATTTTGTAAATATAGTTTGTTACCACACTCCTCAGGCCCAGCCCCTCAAAGATATTTTCATTTTATAGTGTTTTGGCTTTGGGAATTATAAGTATGGAATTTTTTGACAAGTTTAATATAAATGTTATTCTACTGTCTTACTTCAGTTTGTTTTGCTGTTGAGAATCAGTTTCAATCTCATCCTTGAATCTTTGTATGTGATCACATTTTTATTTAAGGAAGTTCTCAGAGTCTTGGAGTGGCTTTTTCTTCACTCTATGGGTCTGTTCATAAACATTAACGACCTGTGATATGCAGACGACACAACCTTGTTTGGTGAAAGTGAAGATGACTTGAATCACTTAATGATGAAGATTAAAGACTACATTACACCTCAACATAAAGAAAATGAAAATCCTCACAGTTGGATCAATAGACCACATCATGATAAAAGGAGAGAAGATTGAACTGTCTAAGATTTCATATTATTTGGTTCTACAATCAACACCAATGGAAGCAGCAGTCAAGACATCATATGATGTATTGCACTGTGCAAATCTGCTACAAAAGACCTCTTTAAAGATGTCCCTTTGTAGACTAAGGTGTGCCTAACCCAAGCCGTGTTGTTTTCAATCTCCTCATATGTATGTGAAAGCTGGACAGTGAATGAGTAAGATGAAAGAAGAGTTGATGCTTTTGAGTTGTGGTGCTAGTGAAGAATACTGAAAGTACCATGGATTGCCAGAGGAACTAATGTCTTTTCTGGAAGAAGTGTAGCCAGAATGTTCCTTGGAAGTGAGAATGGCTAGGAGAGGGATGTCATGCTTGGTATAGTGGAGAGTCAGTGTAAAAGGGGAAAACCCTCTACTAGGTGAATTGACACAGTGCGTGCAATAATGAGCTCAGGTATAGCAAGGATTGTGAGGCTGTGCAGGACTGGGAAGTGTGTCATTGTGTTGTGCATAAGGTTGCTATGAGTGAGAGCCAACTCGATGGCACCTAACAACAACAGCAACATGGGCCTGTTATGGAACCCAGCAGAGAATCAGTGAGTGCTGTGGGATGGAGAGTACATGTCAGAATTGGTAAAAGCTGGAGGGTGTGGCATGTCTGGCCTCATAGGCATAAGCCTTGGGCTGTTGATGGTGATTCTATCTCCCTCTTGTGAAGTTAGAGAAAGTCAGGAGATGCTACCTCTCTGCCCTTTTTGCAATAACCCATAGTCTAAATACAGCTATTTCCAGATATCCTCCTACCACACACACTCCTGACTTAACTCAACTACCATCATTAATAGGGAAGAATTTCATAGAACTTCTGAATGTAATAGTTCTCAATCAAACCAATCAAACTGGTGCTATGGTGATTATATTTCCTCTTTGTCACAAGTATCCATTGATAACACAGCATGGACTACTCACTCACACTGGCATATCCAGTCCTTTAAACTCTGTATGTAACTGTGTAACACTGCTTTTTTTTTTTTTTTTTTTCTTGTAGGTTCAGCCATAACTTGAAAGATGGGAAATGAATACAAGAAAATTGTTCTGCTGAAAGGATTAGAGGTCATCAATGATTATCACTTTAACATAATTAAGTCTTTACTGGCCCATGATTTGCAACTGACGAAAAAAATGCAGGAAGAATATAACAGAATTATGATTGCTGACTTGATGGAAGAAAAGTTCCAGGGTGTTGCCTGTGTGAACAAGCTAATAGAATTGTTCAAAGATATCAAAGATCTCAAAAAAGATATTATTGAAACACTTAGAAGAGCAAAGTCAAAAGGTAACAGGGGAGACCCCCTCACTCTAACCAACCCTACACTTACCATACCCTTCAATAGAAACTTACCATGGTCACAGTTGTTATATCCCTTTCCCAACTTAAGAATCAGAAGCAACACTCAGGACCATAGTCACAGGGGACACCAAGCTTAATTGGCATAACGTACTACACAAAAACATTGTTCCACATCCTACTTAGGTGAGTAGCAACTGGGATCTTAAAAGCTTGCAAGCAGCCATCTAGATGCAATGATGGGTCTCTCCTCATCCAGAGCAAAGAAGAATGAAGAAAACCAAAGATGTGTGGAAACAATTAGTCCAAGCAACTGGTACACCATGTGATCCTCAGTCAATATGACTATGAGACCAGAAGAACTACATGGTGCCCAGGTATCACTGTCAACTACTCAGAGGAGGATCAGTGTGGAAGATCCTGGATAGAGAGGGAGAGCAATGTGGAATAAAACTCAAAATCATCAGGGGGAAAAAAAAGGGACCAGGTTTGGTAGTCTAATAGAGCCTGGTGGAACCCCTGAGACTATGGCCCCTAGTTGCCCTTAAGGTCTGGAATTGAACTCATGCCTGTGGCTTCCAGCAAAACAACAGACAGGCATATGAGCTGAACATTTACACTAGGTAGATACACTCCTTGGAGAGATAAATCATGGGAGAATGGAAGGGCTGTGTATCGACAGGGAGACAGCTTGAGGGGCAGGAGTACATGGAAGGGAAGGACACAAGAAAGAGGTAACTATGGGGAGGAAGTGAAAGGGGAGCTGTTGTGTTGTGTGAAATTGCAATCAACATCATGAGACAAAGTGTGTGTGAGCTGCTGTATTGAAAGTGAATTTGCTATCTAAACTTTCCCCAAAATCACAATAAAAATTAAAAAAAAAAAAAAAAACACTCATTGTTGTTCTATGTGCCGTCAAGTCAGACCCGACTCATAGCAATCCTTCCTTGAGTTTCCAAAGCAGTATCACTACGGAAGTAGATTGCCCAACCTTCCTTCTGAGGAATGGCTGGTGGGTTGGAATCACCAGCCTTCTGGTTAGCAGTCAAGTGCCTTAGGCGCTGTGGTACCAGAGCTCCTGCTGGAACCTTAAATGGCAAACAGTTTACAATGTATGCCTTTCCCTTTTCTGTAGTGAGGATTGATGTATTTTGGAAGGTGTATGTGGGGTTCAGGTGGAAAACAAAAGGCAGAACTGGTGAGAAAGGCTGAGATTACTAGTACATTAGAAAAGATAGAAAATGACAGCAAGATTACAAAAATTATTCTTCATTTTTTTAAAAAAAAATCTACATTTAATCAATAACTGCACCTGTTCTATTAAGACTGTTTACTTCATCATAATTATCTTCTTTAGTAGCAAAGACGAATTGTGACTGACCTACCTGTAAAATCTCTGGATTTAAACAAAATATTTTAACAAATTGAAGGTCAATATCACCAGTTTGTAACATCACAAATCAGACCACATTTCTATAATTGGAACAGATGTTCAGTAGAAAATGACCCACCAGTTGGCACCAAAAACACCAGGATATTATTTTTTTAAAGGAAAAAAAAAGAATACCTGTTCTAAAGGATTATTGGTAACTAGATTATTGGTAACTATTCATTACTGCACTGAGCAGTTCTTTCTTTCTTTTTTCAATTATTATTATTTTTTTTTTAATTGTGATTTGGGTGAAGATTTACAGAGCAAATTCACTTTCCATACCACA